AATTATTGTGCTCCTAGTTCCACTGACATCAACAGTTTTATCCAAGAGAAGAACAGGCAACATATAGATGTAAGAAAAGTGCCATTCTTCCAGAATATAATGCTCAAGACAAGTGAAGTAGGGGTCAGGAAGATAGACGAGTGGCCCAACACTGCAGTTATGTTGGACATTGTTACACAAAACCTTCCATAAAAAAAAAAAACTCCACCTGGCCCAAGTTTACTTTCCAGAGTGAATGAATACATTCTCAGTATCAAAAATACAAAGCTTTCATAACTGCATGGACAGTTTCAGCAATTAAGCTTTTAGAAATATCATCTAAATTTAAGATTTTAGCCCCCGACCTGAAAAAGGCACTTTGGTCCAAAAGATTGTGCAGCATGGTCTCAACTGTACAGCTGGTCCAATAAAAAGAAAAAAAGCCATCGTGTTTCTCACTAAGATTATACAAGATAAATTATTCACCCAGAACAATCAGTATTGTACATAAAAGACATTAAAATAAGAGCTTCCAAAATCACCACACTTAACCGGATAATTTAGCTACCTTACAATCCACCCTTAGGACTGCTTTATATAAACCAAATGTTTTCAATTTGTCTCAGTATAAACAGCTTCATTCGATGCTGCTTATTCAGCTTGGGAATACAAGATAGATAACTCCCTGATTCTAATTTATCAAGTCAAATAATCTTGACTAAACCTCTTGGATCAGATCACAGGATCACTTGTATCAGTGAACCTGTTAGAGATTTTTAGGATGTCTAGACTAATCTGGTGAGCTTATCTTGGTCTTTAATCATTGGCAATGTTGTAATACAACATGCCTCAGATGCACTCCAAAATCAGCACTTTATCCATCAGTGCCCCCATTTTGAAGCTTTTGTACACTTACACACACACACACTCCCCTCTCCCAAATAGAGCACTACTAAAAGTATAAATTAACAATTTAATTATAATAGTTTCCCCAATCACACAAGCCATTCAGACAGACATCCAAATACCTCTTTTTCATCATTTCCAAGAGTCAGTTTAAATCAGCTGTATTCCAATCTTAATAGAATAAAGTAAGTACTCCACATAACAAATCATTAAAGCATGTTATACAAATATGGCAGACCCCTCAGAAATTTTGGTCTGTAAAGTTACAGACTGACAGCCTGCAACACAAGATAAAAGATGAATTTTTATACAAATCCAAGAAGCCATTACAGGGATTATGCACTGATACAGGTGAAAACCCTACAAATTACTACAATTGGCAAATGGATTGTGACGGGTCCTTAAAATTATTCTAATAAAATAATTTCAGCAAGTCAAGGAAAGTATGATAGTATCAAGCCTTTTAGGTTAGAACTTGGTATAACAAATATGAATTATTAGTATTCACTAGTTTAGGTTATAATTTGTGGAATGCAAAGCATCAAAGAATAAGTGGACAAAATATTTACAACATAAATGACTCAAGGAACAGCTTGGCTTCTATATGTATTTACATACCTTATTAATTTTTTCTTTGGGATGTGTCAGAAGGGCTGGGAAATGTGAAAGTGCTTCACAATTCAGAACTACTTGCGTCTGTTCATCAGTCCCTGTAACAATGTTTCCTACAGCTCTCAGGGCAGCAGTCTGAAACAGAACACTGTTTAAAGACCGTGGAACATTTGAAACAGTTGGGAGAACAATTTTCAATGATATTTCTAGAAAGCTGATTCTAAGTTAAAGTATGAAAACACTTAAAGCAAAAAATATTTTGTCCAAAAGTAGAAAAAAAAATGACATTTGCAGAGTTTCAGAAACTGAAGCATCTGCAGAGACGTGTTGCTAAATATTTAAACAATAATCAAACCAGAAGTTACACAAAGTCACTAAGCCTTTGATTCAGAATGTACAATCTGAACGTACTTGCACTTTAACTTCTTGGTGACTGAGAAGAGGAACCAAATGAGGGACTATTCCAGAGTCTATCACCATCTGGATCTGTTCGTTACCAGCATCCGTTAGGTAGGAAAGAGCCCAGACTGTATCCACCAATATCTAACATAAAAAACCAGAATTAAACCAATACAAAAGAGGAAGCTCTAAACAACACATGCCAAGTCAGACGTGAAAACTATTTTTAGAAACTGGTAATTAAAGCAAAAGCCCAGAGACTATTTAAATGTTTGACGCACATCTCAGAATAAGTTTTTTTCCAACCCAAATTATGTCCTTTATTGATGTAATCCAAGCAACAAAACAGCAACTAAAACAAGCTTTCCTACCACTCTGAAGCATGATATATTTCACTTGAAAAAGCAATTGCATTTCAGACTTTATTATTCCCTTGCCCCTTGGGAGTGCATGTGGCCCCCCAGAGCCGGCTCTGCCCCTACCCAAACCAGCAGCAGGCAGCAGTAGGGGAGCCAGCTTCGCGCTCCTTCTGCTGCAGCTGCCTTCTGTTGCAGGCAGGGAGCTATGCACCTGGGTCCCTGGCTCCATAACCCTGGCAGCTGGGGGCCCCCTCCGACAGGACTGGGGGAGTGAGGGGTACCAGCAAGGCCAGGGAGGGCTGTGGGGGGCCTTTAATCATGAATTTTGCAATTTTTTCTTGAGAAAAACCAGGAACCCTGCTCATGACATAAGCATCTGGTTCCAGCCATCACAAGTAAGGGGCTAATTAACACACAGATCCTGTGTCTGTGTTGGGGGGGGGCAGGGAAGGAGGAGATGTACCTTGAAACACTTGACTCTGCTGGGGCCCAGCCCAATAAACTCCATGGAAAATAAGTAAGCCTCTTGGATTTGGATTAAATATCATGCATTGTTTGTGCTATATATTAGTGTTGCTTAAAAGTGCACTTATTGAGTACTTGTACTAAAACTTGTAGCAGTTTTTTGGATGAATTAAATGGACCGCAGGCATTTAATTTCAAAGTCAGCATTTTCAAATTTGCCCCTCACTTCTATGTACTCAGGGACAGCAGGTTCGAAGGGTAGTACCAGCAGAGAGCTGCACTGCAGAAGTTGTGGGAACAAAGGGCAAACAGGCCACTTGCCCCCACCCAGATTACATTTTTTGCTGTGGTATTTGGGGAGGGACAAATTCAAGGCAAAGCTCCAATAATTAGATTATACACCTGGAAATTACTATGAATTTATACACTTTCCATATATAGAATCTAATTATTGAGGGGTTCTCTTATATTCAGGGTTGTCTTGTATTTGAGTAAGTACAGCATTTATTAAAAGGATAAGTGGACTGCATAAATAGTTGCTTTTCTTATGTAAAGAAAAGTACATTCAGTATGTATTCATAACATTATAAACATTTCCTTCCATATATGCATAAGGCATTTGAAATGTACACTCTCAAAAGAAGTCCTTAGGAAGCAAAAGGAAGACAAGAGGCTTAACATTTCTTTTCTTAAAAAAAAAAGGTAACTCGCCATGATCAGCTGCTTCTAAAATGACCTTAGGCTATAATCACCAGAAGTGCCAGAATGATATACTTGATTAAGAAGCAATTTATGGGATATTTTATTACTTACATTTACATCTGTGTGGTGAATTAAAACACAGAGGGCTGGAAGGATCTGAGGAAGGGAGGCAGATAGAAAACATTTAATGTTAAATAATGTTCAAGACATTCACCAGTTCTAGTATAATACATTTAAATTTATAAACATAAATTTAATTCACCTCCTGAATGGTTTCCATCGGTGGAGGTGGATCTTTGTGACGGCACAAGTTGACCATGACCCATGTAACATTTCTTAAGAATGTTATAGGAATAGATGGGCTGATGAAGGACAACAGGGGCTTCACAACTCCAAGACTAATAACATAATCTCTACATTGAGGTCCATCACCTGTATAAACAGCAAGTGATTTTATGAGGTAAAAACTATTTTACAAAAATGGCTTCTACAGAACCATTTTCTGATGTTAAAAGTAAACAATTCAGGGCTGAATTTTCCAAGCAACCTAGGAGCTATTCTCTCTATTCACAAATACAACCTGTGCTGTAAATGTGGCTCCAGGGGTTGAACCATTGGATACACTGCTGTGACCTTTAGCAAGAGACGATGTCAGAATACATTATTTCCCAATACCTACTGATCAGCATTACTAACCAAAATACTAATAGCTCAAAGAAACAAAAACAAAACAGAAACCCCCCATAAACATCTCTTCACTGCTAAAGGACTGTAAGCAGTATAAAATGACCTATCCAGTGTTCAGTATCCCGGGAAAGCAGTCAGCTTTTTATGAGTCTTGTGAATGTAAACCTCTCAGAAAATGAGGGTTCATTGTCCATGTCACTAGATCCATCCACAAGGACATCACTAATCAAAACGATAGAGTCAAGGGGCTTGTTCGAGATGCAGTAAATAACTCTATTTTGATTCCCTCTCCCAGTAAGCACTTGAATTCTGGAAAGACTGGCTATCCACAATACAAACAGAGAAAAGTGGCAATTGATAACAAAGGGGGGGGGGGAAGGTGGGAGGACGATACTGCAACACAGATTAATGGAACCCCAAAGGTACAGATCAGAGATTTACGTAAAAGTGACCTGTGAAAGGTTTGTTACTTAAACACAAGTAAACGTTCTTTTTTTTCCCTCTCTGTCCCTAGAGGCATTCAAGTCAGCAAGGCTGGATGAGCTTCATCCCAAGATCCTGAAGGAACTGGCAGAGGAGATCTCAGAGCCCTTAGCAATGATCTTCATACAGTCATGGGAGATGACCCAGGTTCCAGAGGACTGGGAAAAGGCCTATATAATGCACACCCCGCCGCCCCTTAAAAAAAAAAAAAAAGCAAGGAGGGGGACTCAGGGAACTACAGACCAGTTCAGCTTCACCTCAATACCTGGGAAGTTACTGGAGCACATCCTAAGGGAGGCATCTGGAGGAGGAAAGGAACCAGCAGCAGCCAGTACAGATTTATGAAAAACAAATCATGTCAAACCTGATCTCCTTCTTTGACCAAGTAGCTACTTGGGTGGATGAAGAATACTGAAGATATAATATACCTAGACTTCAGCAAGGAATTTGACAATGTCCCCACATGACTCTCTCAAACAAATTGGAGAAACGTGGGTTAGATAAAACTTCTACAAGTTGGATACACAGCTGCTGGGCTCAAAAGCCACAAAGGGTAATTATTAAACAGATCCATGTCTGAATAGCAGGAAGTTTCTAGTGGAGTCCCACAGGGATCTGTCCTCAGCCCAGTGCTATTTAATGTGTTTACCAACAATTTCAATGCTGGAATAGAAAGCTTCTTGAGCAAGTTTGCAGAGAACATGAAACTGGGAAGGACTATGAACACATTAGAGGATGTGAGCACAACTGAGACAGATCCTGACAGGTTGGAAAGTTGGGCTAGACTAACAGGATTAAGTTCAACGCAGATGCATGAAAGGTGCTAAGCCTCGAAAGGAATAATCCAAAACAAATAAAAATGGGTGACACCTGGCTGAATGGCAGCACTACGGAAAAGGACTCAAGAGTCTTGGTAGATCCCAGAATTGGCATGAGTCTGCCATGTGATGCAGCCACACAAAAGGTGAATATAGTTTTGGGCCAAATCAATAGAAAAATTACGTGCAAGACACAGGAGGTGATAGTGCCTCTCTACTTGGTATTGGTTAGGCCTCATTTGGAGTCCATGTGCAGTTTTGGGCTCCACATTTTTAAAAGGATGTGGAGAAGTTAGAGAGGGTCCAAAGGTCAGCAACAAGGATAATCAAGGCCTTGGAAGGCAAGTCATATGAGGATAGTCTGAAGGAGCTAGGAAGATTCAGTTTGCAGAAAAGATGCTTAAGGGTCATGATAGCAGTCTTCAAATACTTGAAAGACTACCATAAGAAGAAGGAAGGCGCTTTTCTCTCTCTTGTTGTAGAGAGGACACAGACCAATGGCTTGAAGTTACAGCAAAGTAAATTTAGATTGGATAGCCGTAAAAAAAATCTTCACTGCAAGAACAGTGAAACAGACGGTCTAGGGAAGTTGTAGACTTTCCATCACTGGAGATGTTCAAGAATAAGCTGGATAGCCACTGGTTAAGGATGACATAGGTGTAGGTATGCCTATTTTCTACCATGGGTATTTCCCATACCTTTGGGCTTTGCTGGTTGCTCCCTGCCCCCCTCCCCCCGGCTTTTTCTGCAATGTGGCAGGATGTTTTTAAGCTTCCTCAGAGGCTCTGGGTGTTGTCTACAGCTAAGGCTGGGGACTTTGACTGAGGTGTGCCAATTTTCCTGCCTGGCAAGAAGGTCTCTCCCCTCAGCTCAAAGTCAGACTGGTCACCATACTTGGGGTCAGGAAGGAATTTTACCCCATCGTCAGACTGCTATGGACTGTGGGGTTTTTCCTTTCCTCTATAGTGGGGGCTGTGGCCTCCTACCCAAGACCTCTTGAACATGTATTGACATTTTATAGAAGACATTGGTTGCTGTGGTTCCCTTACTTTACCCGTCGCAGGTTAGGGTGTTAGGCCTATGTTGCGTCAGGGTTGAGGGTAGTCTTATGTAGAATTTAAATGATAGTTGTTTGGGATTGTTTGGATAGGGATGACTGTGCCTCAGGCAGGGGGGCTGGACTAGATGACCTTCGGAGGTCCCTTCCAACCCTACTCCTCTTTGACTATGTAGTGTGCACACACAACTAAGCACCCAGAGTTATCCTCACTGCAGTATTCAACTTGTATTCCTGACAGGACAGAAAATAGCATCTTCCCATACACAATGTTGTAAGAATCCATTTTAGCAAAACTAGAGAAGTTTTAAGATTAGTTTGATATGAACTAATCAAAGCCAAAATATGCATTAAGGCATACTGGCACTAAAAGAATGATCCATCTTCCAGCAGCACAGGCATAAATTTAGTCTACACCACTATAAAATGTGAGTATCACTGAAATCAAGAACAGAAAAGTAGAAGATTTAAAGAAGTAAAAATGGCTTAGCCAGATGAAACTCCAAAATTTCCCAGCCTTCAAAATGAAAGACAGTTAGTGCAGTTTACATAATTTTAATCTTTTTTGTCTAACATTACTTTGCTGGGAATGAAAGATGACAGTGTTAGATGAACTGAATTAGAGAAAGCAAGAATTAAATACAAGACACTTTTTGGAAGAAAAAAAACCCTCTGTATGTGAGCCAGCCCCATTTGAATAATCACTCTATTCAACTTCTGGTTGATTATACTTCCAATTTTTAATAAATAGCATCCTAACCAGTTTAAGAATTTGATTTGCAAAGCACCTTTGAATTGTTATACTAAGTGACACAAACCTATGATATTGCCTAAAGCCCATACTGCTTGCTCACAAACATTTTGATGGGGCGAATGCAGCAGTCTCAGAAAAAGTGGCACAGCATCTGAAAAATAAAGCATTCCATTATTAAGTCTTAGCTCTGAAAAAGACGAGTTCATTCATATAGTTAGCTCTTAAGTGAAACACTGGCTTTCCTCTATCCCATGAGTAATACCTTCTCTGGTTAATGAGGCTTGACCCTGTTTCCAAAATATGCCGAAGTATAAACAATGCATCCTAAGACACCTTTTCTTTTATGTTCTTTCACAGACAGGTCTGTAAAAGTAAAAGATTCCAGTAGCTTGGTTCTAATTTGCAGTGAGGTTTGTTATTCATTTAACTGTATCCATCAGAAACCTTCTGCAAAAAATGTCTGAGACGAAGTCCACACACAAAGCAAATTAGGTTACTAATCATCAAGAATATTTTCGATATTCTTTTCCATCTGTTATCAATGGAAGTTTTATTCAGAATCTTTGATGAAGATCTCTAAAAACTATTCAAGATATACACAGCAACATAAGCTATTTCCTATATCTTGTCTTCCCTATTCTTCCAGTCTGAAATTGAAATTTACCCAAACTAAAGGGAAAGCCAAATTTACCATTACAAGAGATTTTGAAGTTTCAAATATCATCAGTAAATGACTACCAAGGACTGCCTAGAGTAGCAGCTTTAAATAGTCGTTATTAAGAACAAGGCACTTGCACTTTTACCCCATACGGGGAAAATTAGGGGCAGGAGCCAGCTCCCAAGTAGTTACTGGTTTAAGTAAACCAATCTTTAAAAAATATTAACTATTTGAAACAAGGCTACATATCCTTATCTCAAAGCTACCTGCTTGTGTGGTAAGCAGGTGTAATTTTAACAAAACTTTGTTTTACAGTTAAATATTTTTCTCAACACCAATCCCATGCTACATTTCTTTAGTATAATGTGACTAAGCAAGTTTTATTCAATGTTAAGCAAGAGGAATTACAATCTCACTTTGTAACCAGAGGAAAATATCCCAGGTGTTTCCAATGAATACCAAGCAAAGCAGACAAGGTTTTCATAGCTATAAGCCATTATTAAAGAATAAATATTTCCATAATGCTTAATTAGGGAAACTTCTAATGAAGTTAAAACTCTGTATACACTGTTTCTAGTAAGACCATTAGAAGATACCACAATTGTCAATTCAATTATTTGTTTTTGGTCCACTGAAAAGTTAGCTTTAATATGGGAAAAATAGGATGCTCAAACTATCTTAATGCAGAGCAGATACCATTTGTATAACTCTGTTTGGAAGGGGATGTTAAAAATACTAATAAAAGCTACTTGTTCTTTAAAAGAGCAATCCAACTCCATTGAAGTTAACAGGGTATATTCCATTGACTTCACTGGGCTTTGTCAGAACTACAAGAACAAAGCTTAGTGAATTTTGTAATCCACTACCATTGCAAAGCACACATTTTTTTCTTTTTTAACAAATAAGTTGTATATTAGTTTAAGGGCCCATCTAGATGTGCCGGTATGGTGACGTTGTTACTGCACCGTGATTTAATACTTTATTTTGGTAGTACGCATGGCGCATGGTTATTTTTAGCAGCTCCTTCGTGGTAATGGCACCCTATACTGGGGGAGCACATGGCTATGGCCACACAGCTGCTGGTCACATGTAAATGCACCCTTAATGTAACAAAAAATACAAATATTTAAAGATTTATGATTTTAATTGACCTGGCAACATTTTCCCTTTCAGTTTTGTCATTTGGTAGTTAGAATGAATCTACTACTTCTATGCAAATAGCTTTCATTCCCACCCAGCATTTCTTTCGTCAGATCACAGTGGACCTCAAAAGGTTATTTCATAAATTGTAAGGCTTAAAAATCCTTTTTAAAACCAAATCCAGCAATAAATAGATGCTGTTGTCAAATGACTGCAAACTTATTACAATAAAAAGAAACATTTTTTCTTGTTATCACAGGATAAGCCAATCAAAATAGTGAATTTAAATTACTCATGCTTGTGTCAAATTAGTCAAATGCATCACTCAAACCAGATTGCTAAATTTTAGGCACAGTATTGTCACCTGAGTTGACTGTTTCGAACAGCCACTTAAGAATTCAGCTTCCAATGTAGAGTTTTCAAAGATTCCTTTGTTTTAAGTTCCTTAAGTTAGATCATATCAAAAGTTGACAGTTTATACTGGTACTTAGCACATTTAAAATTTGATCATACTGCTTCTGGCTAGTACAGAAAAAGTTCTGTTATTCGGCATGCTCCACTAACCGGCATGCTGGCTTGTAAGGAAGTGAAACCGGAAAGTACCCACCATGGCACTTAGTTTCTCAGAGCCCCCACTGCTCAGGTCAAAGCAGCGTGTGCTGCCGAGCCCCCACAGCCCAAGGGCATAACAAGCTGCGTGGGGCTGTGCAGGACCTGGCTTCATGTCCCACAGGGCCCCGCAAGGGGCAAATGGATGCCCCAGATGCAGTGCGAGAAGCAGCAGCCAGGGCTGCTCAACTAACCGGCATATTTTGTGGGAATGGGGGATGCTGGATAACACAGATTTTATTGTAACAGTATTATGACATTCCATTCTGTTTTACCTGTATACTTTTCTGAATTTTTAAATAAAGAAAAGAAGTTTTTATAAATAGTTGATGTAGGAGAAAATAGGAAGAGAATATAGGACACTTGAGTTCAAATCAGTTACAAAACTTGCTTGACTATTTTAGTACTTCTATGTTCAGACCTCAAAATGCACAAGCACCTTACTAAGTTCAATACTGGAAAAAAGTTCTATTGAGCTTTACTCAAAAACTGATGTTCCAGTAGCATTTTGACCTAAGAAATATTTAGGGTATAGACTTGCATAGCTCTCCCCTTTTATTCAGTGACTTAGGGGAAGTTCAATTCCTTCCTAACTTTAGATTCCTAAACACATGAAGGACACATCTGGTCTTCAAATGTGGTCCTTGTATTGAATTCTAAAAGGTGATATCCTCTGTACCTTTTTCTTCCTCACATGTAGGTAATCCCTTCAAGGGAAAGTTATATATAAAAAAAAAGTGTTTGAAGACTGGAAACCAGCAGATATTAACTCTGCTAAAACAGCGTGAGTTCCCACAAGAGATTACTCACCATCTGCAAACCCAACTGAATTTAAAATCTGAGAAAATGTAGAACAAAAGCAGGTGTGCGCTTCAATTGATGCTGCTTGCCAGAGAAGAGGTAGAACTTCTGGCAGGAGACTTCATGGGCAGGTCCTTCAGCGACGTGCCTGTGATTGACAATTCAGTTTCAACCATCCTGGCTATCGCATGAAAGGACCAACCCTATAATGTGGATTGGCGAACATGCTTGAGAGAAACAGGGGTGCGGATGCTCTTTAAAGTATTATTTGATCTTCATATTTTTGTAGATGTCAGTGTGCAAGTGAAATGCATTACTGATTATCAAAGACAAATTAACTTACTGGATTGAACTACGGCTTGTGTTTGTTCTGAGGTTCCAGATGCAATGTTTGTCAAAGCCCATGCAGCTTCAAACTGTAAAGAGGGACTACAAAAAAAAAGTTTGTTTTACTGAACCATGCATTTTCCATCAGCATCTAACATGGCATCATAGCAGACACTTGTGAATTCTTACAGCAATTATTTAGCAAAGGATTACCCTTTCCAAACTGATTTTACAGCTAACGTTTTTGAAAGAAAATATGTACTCACTTGTCGTCTCTTTCAAGACAGTGCACCAAAATAGGTAATATTCCTGATTTTATTAAGTCATCAATTGGTGGATTGCGGTCACTGGAAAGAAGCTTTCTGTTTAGGAACAAAAAATAAAAATGAAGCTTGCAAGCAGAATCCCAGAAACCAAAATATGATTTATTTTTAGACTGAGCAAAATTAACACAGCTAGCAACTTAGTTACTACTTCAGCCACCTCTTCGTTTAACCTAAACTATCACTGATAAGGGGAATAAGGGTTATACTAATACTAGAATCATGACAGTCTCAGGGAAGTCGATCCATTTTCAAAGCATCTTCCTCTCACATGGAGCAGCACAGGGACATAAGGAGACAAGGATTTTCAGTCATATTTTTGTTCATCTTATTCACTATGCACATAGTGTGTAGAGGATTGGGGCTTAGTTTAAGTGACGCTACTTTAAGAGAACCACTGGTGAGGAAAAAAAGAGTACGGAGAGATTTAGAAGCAGGTTCCTTTCCTCATTTTCTACCCCACTCCAAACTTTCTTGTGAGGGAGAGAGCTACTGGTTTGTCAAACACATCCTCTAAAGATTTGTTTTCCACTGCTGCTATAAGTACTGAATTGCTTTATGGGCCCCTGCCCGAGACAGTGTAAAATGAAATCTCCTTTCAACAGTTTAATAATGGCCAGTTAAGCACTGTGAAGAGTGGAAAAATCAGTAACTGTAGGATATCCACTCTAATATAACTGTAGAAGATGATATTTAGATTACCTAGTGAGCAAAAATGTTTCCTTTTCAGGAGAGTTGCAAATGGACACCCAATATGTTTAAAAATATACCCTAGTTCCTGCAAAAAACCTTCAGCATTCATTGCTGTTCAAGAGCAGAACAGAACAGTTTAGGTTTACTGAAGAACTATAACAAGTCTTATTCGCACCGACAGCTCAAGACTCTTGCTCCAAGAATCAGTCAACTTCAGTTTATTTTCTGCTACTGCTATTCAATTTTCTGCCCTTGCCACATATCTAGTTATGCATTTTGGGAAATTGGAGACAAGTTTCATCTCTACTTCTCCGCCTACCCCTAAGTTCAATGTTTAGAGTGGCAGAACAGCAGGCAAGAAAAGCTGGTTACCTTTCACACCTTACTTTAATAATAGTAGCTCTGCTTTGAGGCTGTGTCAACACAAATACATTACACTGGTTTAACAATTGTTTTTTAACCAATTCAGTTTAAAGAAGAAAAGGTAACATGATTAATGCAAGCAAGACATGGTAATTTTGCTCCGCTGTACTGAGTATGAAATTAAGGGTTTAGCTTTAGCTTGTCATTGGGCAAAAGTGGGCACATGCTGGTACCGAGAAGGAGACTGCTCAGGGACAAGTCTGTTTTACAGAGCTGTAATTTGTTTATTACTCATCAAGGATAGTTTTCAGTAATGTTTAAAGCCTCTCCAGAATGATGGTTGCTCACTCACTACCTCAAAACACTTAAGCACAAAAGTTATGCATGTCCACAATCTATTGAAAAGTAGACATTTATTATTCAATTAGTGTAAAACACAATGACTAAAGATTTTTAAGTGTCCAATGAACAATGAAATGCCCAGTGCTTTCAACACTGCTACTGTCAGTGAACGTACTGGTAGAGTTTTGATTACATAAATGAAGGCAAAAAGTCTGTAAATGAATTTTCATACTTGACACATTAAAAAGGAAAGTTCAAGTTTATACCCATTTTCAGAATTTAAATTATGTCCACTAGCTATACACAAACACAATTGATACTCCAACTTCACTCAACTTGCTCTGAAATGAGGACTTATTTAATAAAAATCCTAAAACTCACAAGAATATAAAGAAAATTCAACTTTACTGAAGTCTCAAGTTGGATCAGTTTGTTTTTACATAAAAACAATTTTAGCTATGACTATCACGATTTGAGGGTATTTGTGAAAAGAACTTAATTTAGTTAACTTGATCATTATTTGACATTCCCCAATGCACTTTAGCTAAAACTCATTTTCTTGGTTGAATATCATTACATGAATTGTAGGTCTGAGTAAACTGTGCTCTTACCTTGCAGCCTGCACTGCACTTAGCTGTACATCTTGGTTGTCACTTGAAGCATTCTGTAGTAAAACAAGTAAATTTAGAACTTGTGCATCTTACATTTGTCACTAGATCAAAAGGGCTCAGATTAAAAAAAA